TCTCTTTCCCAAAATACTGCTAAAATACTACTCAATTAGAATCATAGAGTAGCTGTAGATGTAATAGTATGATTATGGCAATGAAAGGAAGGGTTCAAAAGCCTCTCAGGATATTCACTAGATAAAGCTCTAGTTCTCAGGTAAATATAGATGATTTCTGGCAGACATCTAACTTGTTATTGAAAAATTCTGACAGTGGCTGCTCAGCAGGCTCTGGAATAGGCTGCTCCAGTGCTCAGTTCCTCTTGCAGTGGGAAAGGATTCAGCCTAACACGGAATTTTCGCCTTCCTCATACTAAGTCAGTGCTCTCTTCCCAGTAGGCACAGAGACCAAGCAGTCACCTCTCTCTCCACAATAACGGTGTTGTTATCTCCTCGCTAAAGTGATTTAAGTATCTGCACACCTTTGAACATTTGGGAGGGGACTTTTTAAAAAGGGCATTTCAGTCTTTTTGTGTACTTTGTTCCTTTCTTTTCTTCCCCTTAATGGGTCTATGCTTTCCTTAGTTTTCCTCYTACCGCTTACACAGTTTTTTGGCTGTTCGTCCCCACTTGCCTCGCCACATGACCATGTGCAGCTTTGAGCAAAGTCCAAGGGATGAAGATCTGGTTGACCTCTCAGATAACATTAGCAGTTCCCAACGGGAGCTCGTTACAAGATGCCACTCCAGATGAGATACACATATAACCYCACCACTAACCTCAGTGTACTGCTGGATTACGTTTTCAGGCGTGGGCCCAAGGAACATATAGAAGTCCAGGATGCCTCCAATAGTGCGGAAAGTTAGGGATGGATTTGGACTCAGAGAAACATCTGAAAGGGAAAGCAAGGTTCTCAGTACACATTAACTCTGCTATTTTAGTCTTTTCATTGGAAGTCACTGCCTGCCAGGGGAAACTGGCTTTGAAGACGGAGTGAAGATTCCCCTTCCCWCAAATTGAACCACCAGATTAATACAGTAGGGTGACCATGGCAACGTGCAAAACTATTCTCCACAGACAGAATATAGGACTAACCTAAATTGATTTGTTTCAGTTATGCTGATCCCAGAGGAAATTTCTTCCACCTTTTTCTCTCCCTGTATGTGCATCCATTTTCAAAAAATATAATACATTTTCATTGAAAATACCTTATCTTCTTTAACAGTCATTCTAATGAAATCTCCTTAAAAATATTATAGCAATTCCTAGAGACTTATGCAACAGTCAGTCTTATTTGTATCACAGGTAGAAAGCAATCAGTAAAATAGTTATTTATATTTACTGACTTAGCATCTTTGTATGTGTATGTAGTTCACATATCCACATATCTTCTTACCTTGTGCATTGGAGTTCAGCAGGAGAACACCATGGGCATTGGAGTCAGTCTCTACGCACATATAGAAAGGGTGAACCCCATAAAGATTAGCAAATGTCTGAAACATAAAGAAGACATTAGGTAGGGTTGTGTTTTGCAGTTTTTCATAGATTTTTCAGTTGTATACACATGCAAAGACAAGGAAATAATTTCATTTATAGGTAAAAAGACTTACTTTGAAAAACTGGTTTTTTTTTTTCACCTAAACCAGTTAAATTGATAGAACAAAAAATATTTTTTTTCTGCGTCACACAGTGTTGCTTACTGTTCTTTCTTGTTTAAACCTTCCACGCTCTGTGAAACCCTCCGAAGTTACATAGGTAAGAAATGCTTTGCTAGTTAAAATAAAATCATCAAATTGACTCAACTTTAGTCAAATATCTCATCCAAGAGTGAGCCCTGCTGAAGTTCAGTTTGTCTGCGTGAACAGAGATTGACCCAAGCATGGAATTAAGTGTCTTTCTGAACCAGACTCTTGACAAACACAGTATACTTCCCTGACAACTAACTGCATTATAAAAAGGTTTCTGATGAAAAGTCTCAAAGTCACCTCAGAATGACTCRCAATTTTGCCATTTAATTAAAACATATGACACCTACAAAACATGAGACAAAGCACATTTTTCACTCTCTGCCATCAATTCCCATCAGCAGTGTTATCATACAGAGAGCTTCCCTTGGCAAAGCTATAGTCTACCACTTCCTTTTTACGATGCAAGTTTAGGAAAAAAATGTTGCATTAATTTTATTACCGTTGGCGACTGATCCCTGCTAAACATGCCATAAGTAGCAAAGTTCATGCTGTGTTTGAAGGATGGGTGCTCGTGTTCACCAAACCCGTACACTGAGGTGGATGGCACTGTAGTTGTAATCTGTAGATACTGGTTGGAAAAAATCAGATCATTCAGGGATGCATCCCACCTATGACAAAGAGATGAGAGATAATTATTTTCCTTATGTTTAGTATTTAAGCTCATCTCTGTACACTTTGACTTTTTTTGGTATTTGAGATGGTAAAAACATAAAACATTCAATGTGAAGAGGAATTCATGTATCTAAGGTACTTAACCAAACACTCATTAATTTCATCTTGCAATGGCAACAGACATCTCATCTACTTACAAAATCAAACACATCAGTATATTTTTAAAAAGAACAACTAAAATAAGAGAAGACACTATCTATAATCTTATTACCAAAATAAGTGGTTGCTTGTGCTATTTCTATGACAACCAACGGGGTGGGCTGAGGATTGTTATTACGCAGTGGGGTTCAGAATGCTAAATGAGAACAACAGATACTTAGTGGTTATCAGTTTTTACATTTAACACTTTGCTGCATCAGGACCTAAATACTCTTGTTGCCCCTGACTTTATGGAGGTGCTTAGCACAGCAGAGTGACAAATTCCTCCAGACTGCTTGAGTGAGGTGTTTTTATTGTGATGGCTCTTCTCTTGCTTCTCTTCCCAGCCRAATGAATGCCTTTATTTCTCTTGAATCATCTGTGGACACAGGCTCACATTTTAATTAGGTGTTACATTCTGTTTCCTATCTCTAGTGCTATAATGAGCTGCAAGCTAGATGGGGAGGAACATAGTCAAGCTGTGGAGAAGCGTTTCACTAATGGTACTATGTAGGCCATGAGTACCACATTTAGATAGCACCCTCTCGAGCCTTGTTTAACCGTGAATTTGTTACAGCTAATTAAAATAAATGAGCCAAAGCCACAGAGTGGAGAAGTGGCTTAATTCTTCTTTTAATGACATTTTGTCAATGATTTTGGAAAAATTAAATGGTTGATCAAATTGACTGGAAAATCAGAGAAGCGGAGCTGGGTGGTACCAGTGGTGGAAGAGGAGCATCCCTTGGGCCTCTGGTTGCCACCAGCACTGTCAAGCAAGCTATGTACCCTAGAATGACACCAGCGGTCATTCACACATAGAGGGTCTATGCATGTAGGGGAAAAAAAAGAAAAAATAAAGTGGCCTTTTTCGCAAGCAGGAATAAAAAGGGGGGGGGGGCAGGGGAAAGGATTTGTATTTAACTAACTGTTGAATTGGTTGCTTGCCAGCAGCAACTTTCCTTCCTTTCCATCATCTCCTCCACCTACACGCGGTCCTGAGCGAGGTTGTCTCCTAACAGGAAGGTTAATGTGCACGGCGTGTCCCTGGGAAGCGGATGCAGCCCGTGGCAAGCGGAGGCCTTTCCGCGCGAGGCRGAGGGACAGGCTCTGGGGCCAGGAGCGCAGTCACGCTCAGCAGCCCGGCTCCGTGCCGGGGCAGCACGGCCACTGCTCCGAGCGGACCGCGGCTTACGTAAAAAGCAAAGGATGCCACAGGGGAAAYGCTTTGGGAAGAGCTTAAATAGCTGTCCTAACTCATTGAGCACTCTCCACGATGCCTGATCGGAGACGTGAGGCTCTATACGTCTGGGTAGCCACGTCTCGGCACGGGCATTTCCCATCGTGAGAGCTATCCGTGTTGCTATGGTATTCCAAGTGCTACTAAGCCTGTCCATTCCTTGCCCAGGAGAGTGGCTGGGGTGGCAGAAACTGCAGTCCCAGCAGCACAGTCCCCGCCACACCAGGTCTTTAAACAGTGGAGATGCTGTTTTATACCTCGATCATCCCCCGTATATCACTGACACACACYGAACTTCCATGTCGGGTCACCTGAATGGTGTCCAGGGCTGCCATTCCCAATGGCACCACGCTCCTCACCATGCTGCAAAGCCCCACTTTACATCAACAGCATCTTCTTGGAGGCTGGAATGGCCATAGGCTAAATAGAGCATTGRCTACAACATAAAACTGTCACAAGAGCAAGCAATGACACTTTTTTTTTTTGTAGTCACCATTTTTATCTTCTAGATCCTGTAGCAGAGACAAGCTCTCCCCTAGCACCTTTCCACTTGCCTCCTCTCTCAGGAGGCTGCATTGTGGTAATCTGTATGTTGTTTCAAAACATCACAATATTTGTTTGGGTTATGTTGGGGAGAAGCGATCATTTAAACAAAAACCAAATGTTTGTCATTTCTCAAACACCAGGARACAATAAAAGGAAATGTTATATTTCTCCCACCTCCTCTCCTGCTGGTTTAAGGCTGGTAGAAGTAACAAAACAGGAGGGAACAAAAAATGATGCTCCATGCACAGGCATTTGCATGGTTCTCCTCCAGCAGTCTTAGGAATTGTAACAGTGCAGAGGGACAACAGACAAATCTGAAAAGATTTGTTGAAAAGAGGTTGTCCACTACAAAAGATTAAGTCCCTACCAGAAGATACATGTGGAAGAGTGGGTAAATAASAGAGCCCTTTCTTTTGCACCAGAATAGCTGCACTCTGCTCACTTTTGAAAATATTAACCCTTCAGTGCCTCTGTAGCAGATACACCTGCCTGTAGAAAATTAAACTGGACCCCTGATATTCCTGCCTGGGCTGCTGTGAACTTCCCCTTCCCAGGCTAATAGTGAGCTGCTGCTTGTCCTGTAAGTCTGATTGATAAAATGTAGTGCTTCCTTTCAAACACTTAATTATACAAAAGAGGAATCCTCTCTATTATTAACCTATTATCAGGAAAAAAAAAAAAAAAAAAAAAAAAAGAATGACTCAGGAATGAAAAGAACTGTGTAAGTATTAACTTTTCTGGCCRGTAAGTGAACTGAGAYCTATTCAACACCCATCAAGCATCCCTCAGGTCACCAGAACCAACGAACAGTGAAGCAGCAGTTGAAGAAGATGGGCAAGCAGACAGATAAAACAGCTAGTTCATGCTGAAGGAGTAATTTATGACTAATGTGTTCATGGTGATGGGGAAGGATGACTAAAAGGCAATATAATACAGTTTGCAGAAGTGCAGTCATCCATCCTTTGCAACACGAGCTGAACGTGACAGTTTACCTGGTTGAAGAACTTCTCCCTGCTTCGGTTTTCTGGAGAGAGTAGCTCTGCTGCTTGTAGAGCACAGTACAGATGCAGATGGTGCAGAGCCCTAACCTGCCTGCTGTGCACAGACAGCTGCTGGCACATGCTGAGAGGCCTCACAAAGCCTCCAGGATCAGAAGACTTGGGGGGAGCACACAATGCATTGTTTGAAGACATGCATAATGCATTATTTGTACATTTAACATTATCTTACGTTGGGCCACTTTATTTTTTGCAGCATACCCAAGAGAAACGAGCCCATTACTTCAAAGTAAGAGCATGTTTCTCTCTCTTGTTCATGCTGAGGAAATGGTCCCTTAGCACCGGCTTGGCTTGGTCTCCAGCYCCTTGGGGAGCTGCAGGCCTGCAAAGGGGCACACGCTGTGTGTTCACTGGGGCCTGCAAATGCAGGTGGAAACCTCGCGTGGCTGTCAGGAAAGCAGGGCTGAGGCTCCCAGCAGAGCTCTGCCACACTGCATTTGTTTCCAGAGTGCAGGGGCCGGCTCTGCACGTGCGGGCTGCATGCAAAGCAGGAGAGSACTTTAGTGACTGAGCAGTAATGCAGCCTATTTTTAGGTCCTCAAATATACTTGGTGCCTCTAACTCAACCTGCTTGGGTTTGGGGAGATTATCAGCCTTAGGAGCCCAGGAGTCTGTGATTTTCCATAGTGCTCAGATTTCTGAAAAATGTTTTCATTCTCTCATAGCCACTGGATGCCCGATTAGCTGCAGTCCTTGAAGCAACCACAAGCACCACTGGCCAGCCAAAGACATGCCAAGAATTTTCAAATATTTATCTGATTCTTAAGGTGATCTAAAAAGAAGGAGAGTTAGCACCCTCCAGCCAAAAGATTTTCAACAAACAAAACATTTTAAAAAACTATTGGTAGGAAGTATTTACAGCTATTGACACATTTCTACTTCTTCTGCACTCATTGTCATGGTATCAAGGTATCTCCTATAAATCACTAGATATCTAATGCTTCATTTTTGTTCTCAAAAACCCTTGAGTAAGGAATAGACCTGAAACACTTCTTGCCCATGTAACATAAATCATAAATGATGAGAAGACAAAAATAATGCCTCTCACAAACTAGAAGCAAACTCAAGCCACCCATGCTGCACACAGCTTGCTCCTGGTGCTTTCAGCAAAATAGCAGTTTAAGACAATGGCATTATAAATCATTCTAATAGCCTTGCCTATGTAAAAACATCTTCATGGTAAGTGGCGTCTGTGCTTACTACCACAGTCAATAAAAAAAAGGCAGCTGAACTCTGCAGTGGTCTTTGTAAATTAGGGAAGATTCGATTTTTGTTATTTGTTCCATGTCTTCCCAACTCTGATAGCAAGCAAGGTATTCCAAACTTTTAGTGGAGAGAATGGAGCATTTATTTGGGCTGGAAAAAATATTCTGCCTCCCATTATTCATATGGTATCAGGAAGTAAAAGTCACTTGGGGAACGGATATTAAAGCGGAAAATCAAATCATTAGTCCATCCTTCAGCAGCCTGTCTCCAGCAATGGCCCATGACAGATATTGTAGAGGGTGGCATAAGATGTCACTCAGAGACAATAACCTGCTTATAGAGGAAGTTTCTGACTGTTTTCAGAGAATTAGTTTATGTTGWGAGACATGGAGACAGAAATAATTACTATTTTTTGTACAGATTATCTTTTATTATGCATGAATGTGCATCCTGCTGAACTTCCCATGTCAGTACTGCCCTGAGGCCATGAGTCCCACAGAGTAATTACACACTGCAAAATTAGTATGTCTGTGTTATTTATCTCTGCTTTAAAGCAAACGGTTCTGGGCCTTTTACTCTCYGTGCTTGAAGAAACCTACACCTTCTTTAAGGCTGCAGGAACATACTTTTTACTGCCTCTCTGAGCGGTTGYTGTTGTTAATGTGGGAGCAGAAAGGAAAACAGCATTCAGTCAACGAGCACATCACTAAATGATGCAGAGACATTTCAGCCTGCTCAGTTTTGTTCCGTCGCCTGGGTTATTGCAGCCCTATTTTCTTTTTGGCTTTAATTAGCACAGGGGCCTGCACAGCAACAGGCCACTGCCCCACAAAAGCTGCMAGAACAGCTAAGGTAGCGTGGGCAAGGATTTATTAAACTAAAGTCGATCGCAAGTTCCTCGACAAAACTTTTTGCCCCCAATCATGCCAGTTTGTCAAAATGAGAATTTCTGTAGAAYTGTAGGAATGAGGAATGTTCCCTGCTGTCCTGACTTCCCCAAGCAGCTGGTGGTTCACACATTTTACCTGCAGGGTGGAAGGCCATGGCCCAGTCCCTGTTTCTCACAGTTCAGATCAAAGACCTGGAGCTTTAAGTCAGCGTCAGATTTTAGTTATGTTCCAGGCAAAATGAAAAGCACCTGGCATTTTTATAGGCAATTTTTATAGAGTTCTGCCTTCCCCTACACCTCTAATCTGATCTCTTCTCAGCTAAGGGGAGGACTTGCCTGGGCCATGACTGAGATAACGGGAACGCAGAAAAGGGCAAGGAAATGGGGCTGGATCAGGCAAGACCAGGTGGGGCAGAAAAGCAAAAGCGGATCAGAATGAATGAGGTAAGAGGAAGAGTATGAGARGAAGCCAAGATGCATTACGGGGCCGGAGACACGGAGGCAGGCTGAGAGCCAAGAGCCGCCCCCGGCATTTCCATGGGCTCCGGCACCCGGAGGCGCCTGGATCATTTCCCTGCATAACCCCATCTAATCCTGACCCCATGCAGGCAGAGCAGTAGCTGCTGCCTGATTGCCTTGGAGCAAGCTGAAATGTAGTAGGACTTTGCTTTTTATTCTTGATCCTGGCTCCACATGAGGTTTGCAATCAGCTGTTAATGGCTCTTGCCTTGCATAATTCATTCCTCTCTCTGGTTTTTGTGATTACACGTAGCTCTGACTTTATCCTGCCTTCTTTGAGCCGATGCTCAGGTAGTGCTGATATCACCAAGGCTCTTTGCACACGAGTAGGAGAAATGCCTATAAATCACTTCCAGGAATATCTACAGTCTCTGCAATTTTTCCAATGTGGTGTTTTTATATCAAGTGGACAGAACATGATTTTGCTGTGATCTTTGCATGTCCTGCCATCTCACTGCTACAAAGTTAAAGCACAAACGCACATTTATCGAACCCCAGCTAGAGGCTGCACCATGGAAAGGGTGAATGAGAAATAAAAATGTGCATGTTCAAAGCAACTATTGTAGCGAACTGCCCAAAATCACAATAGGTTTCTGCTTGAGACTATTTCCCATGCAGATTGTATCAGTCGCACCGGAGTACTCCCAGCAAGAACAGACAACACTCTGGGGATTATGAGGATTTTTAGGTTTCTTTTTTAGTGGGTCATTCAACACTGCAAAGCTGCTGGTGAGAGATAAAGTGCCTCATATAAAATAGATTTCTGTGTATTTGGAGTTGCTTTACAATAGGAAACCCTTCCTGAGCGATGTCAGAAATGCCCAGCAGTGAGCAGGGATCTGGTTTTGTATAGGCACTATGTTTTATCCACTCAAGTATGGGGAGTGTAATTGCAGCACCTCCCAGATAGGCTTCATTTGCCCACATCTACTATTTTKGATCAATATTTGTGTGCATATGAAGATTAATGCCTGAATGATTGATTCAGATGCTCACTGAGATGGCAAGGCCATAGCCATAGACATCTTAGAAGAGGCGAGACAAATCCCCACAGATGTTAAATGCTTGGCTGTTTCTCAGGGACATTTCTCTTGTCTAGACATGTCACTCTGAGCATGAAAGTGGCCACCTGTGAAGCTCAGTGAAGTCCCTGGTGTGTCAGGGTCCCTGCACAAGTAATTTACAGCTCACGAGGGGTTCAGAGGAGAACCAGGTTTTAGTGCTTTTGCTGCTGACTTTGAGACAAGAAGAGGGTGGGACAAGCACAGGGCAAAGATCACAAAGATGAAGACATCCACAGAGCCTTCCCTGGGTGCCCTTGGTTCTCCTCATACCGATTCGCACCATCCCATGGAGGGGAAGGAAGAGGGGAATACCTCACACTGTCTCCTCACCATTTCACTGGAATGAAAGAGGATGTTTCCTATACGCCTAAGAGGAAATGGCTGGGCCAGCTGGGAGATGGGTGATGTGTGGGATGCTACATCTTATGCACCTGGAAAGGGTATTGGGAAGGGGCTGTGCTGCTCAGGGGATGCTCATGAAAGCAGCAGCAGAAAGCACCTTCTAACCTCAGCTKCTCTGTGGTTCTCTGATATTGCTGAGCACCCACAGTCCTTACTCTGATGGGCTGGACCAAGGAAAGAATGAAAGAAGCATTTTTGCTCCTCACAGAGGGAACTCCACTCCAAATATGATTCAGTTGTGAGAGGAATTGCTCCCTGTTGAGACGTGATCCTTCAGTCTATAAGTACCCACTGTGCCATTTGACATGAAACAAAATTTCCTGGGAACATATAATTTTCCTTTCTATATGCAAAATGCCATGTCTCTCTGCTGATGAGAATCTTTTAGTAGCAGCACTGCCAACGTATGTGGGATAAAAACCCATTAACTGGGTGTAATATTCACCTGTAATTTCCTTTTTTTAAAGTTGGTTGGATTTCAAAAGAACTCCATTACCTGCCTTGACACAAGGGACACTTTCCCGGTGGCGAGGCTCAATAGCGGCACGTTGCCACTGAAAACTGGGCCACTGATATTAACCAAGAGTGCCCTCTACCTTCCTCTCCCTCGCAGCTCTCTCCTCTCCCAGAGTCACAAGTTTGGGAAGAGCACAAAGTTTCGGAAAGCCGCCTGGATGTGCCCTATCCATGTGAGGAGAGGGGAGCACACGGCTGCTCCGGTTGCTGGGGAAATCCCCCAGCAAGGACTGACCCAGCTCTGCCTCTCATCAGCTTTTGGCAGCTCAGCAAATCAAACCCTACRTTTGCTTCATCCCCTTCCGTTATCTGGGACACCCCAAATCAGGGAATGTCTTGAATACTCGAGACCAAACTCTTGGGCTTTGGTTCCAGGTGAGAAAGAGTGAAAGGGAGCTTGCTATGACTGAGCTGGTGCTCATTAGGCATTCACCTCTTCCATCAGTTCTAATTAATGAGTCCTTATAAAAATCTCTTACTACAAAGAAGAAAAAAAAAAGGAGGGGGCTTTAACTTAAGCCTTCTATTTCCACAAAGCTGTTAAGTCTAAAGAGGAATTAAATTATTTTTGTTATCTGAGTAATGCATAATACATTCATTTACAAGAGCCTATAAAAAGAAAACTTTACAGAATTGGCTGTGACGTCTATAAAGAGATGCTGCAAGACTGTAGTTTAAAAGAATGGGCAGCTAATTAAGAGCCCAGGGCGCTGCTTCCATCTGCAGACTTGGACCTCTTCAGAGGCCACACTCCCTTACATGAAGCACACATGTTGTGCCATCTATATATTTCTTGCAAGGAGGATGTTTATATTTTTATATTTTGAGGAAAACACCCCAGTAATCTGAGCATGTGCTTTGCAGAGGCTACAGCTGCCCCTGCACCTCACGGGGAAGGAGCCTCACGCGGTGTGAGCCAAGGCAAAACAACTGGGCTTAATCAGGAGAAGGGAAATGAGCCACTGACAGGAATTAAGACGCTGATACAGACACAACCACAGACTCCTGTGCACCGCAGCCCTGCTGCGACTCCATATGTATACKTTTACATACGTTTATATATTCTGCCCATCTCCCTCACCTGCATGGGATACGATACCACAGAGCCACCCTCAGCACCCCAATTTATCTCTGCACCAGTCACAGGCTGCTGCTGGCGCTGACCCAGAGCGTCACCAAAGGGACCTGGTGCCTCCACGAGCACGGAGGGAGTTACTCTGTCCAAACAAATCTTCTGCTCTACAGAGTTACACAGAAGAGGTGTGCTGGCCAAAGGCAAGAAAATGAGAAATTAGAAAACTTGCTGACATCTGCTTCAAGGGGGGGCTTAGGCTTAACTTAAAAATTAACTTAACTTAAAAAGCAGGACCAGCTGCTTAAAAAACTAGTACTTTCGCAGTGTGACAAATTAGACACACAAATCCCATTCACTGCCTTCAATCCATTGAAACTAGTGGAAGTTAGAGGACTAAGGCCTCCAGGGGTGTAAGCTTTCCTTTCCCAGACCATCATTTGCAAGACACTTGGTGATCAATTTCTGATGTACTAAAATGTCAGAATATTCAGAAAATTGCACTTCGGTGCAGTCTGCAAGTTCAATCTACCAGCGCCTCAAGCTCTGCTCTGAGAAACTTTGCCCACAAAGTTATTTGTCTTATTGGACAACTTGACTGCATTCATGTACATATTCACCCATTACACAGGCATATACTTACATTAAAAATGAATGTTTTCAAGGCACAAGGCATAAATTTATGTATATGACACAGCCAATTTATGGAAAAATCATTTTTTCCTGCGTTCCACAGACCCAAGCAAGAATGTATGAGAAATAGAGCTTCTCTCTTCATTCTTACTTTCTGCAAAATAAAGTTAATAAATTTTGTACTCACAGCACGGTGCCGGTGCTTTTCCTCTTGATAGTGATGTGAGAGGTAGCATCATCAAACTCAATGTCATATTTAGTGTCAGCAGCAGCAACAGAAGGGGATTCAATGTGGAGGGGAACTTCAAATCGCTCGTGGTTAGGATCATAAATCTAAAACAAGGCAAGGAGGGATCAAGGATCAAAGGATCAAGACGAGTTAGGGATTTTTTGTTACTTTATGATGTATAGTTTAATTTTAATTTTTTTTTTTTTTGGATACTCACTTTAAACCTGAGTCTGTCACTTGTCTGGAACTCCACGTCTATGACTACGGGAGAAATGTCATTCCCAAACAGCGACAACGTCTGGCGTTTGTTCAGTGTTACCCTGTGAGATAAACACTTTTTAACGCCAACCACCACAACTCCCAACATATAAACACTACAAAATGGGGGAGGAAGCAACTCTGGTTTTGTGCGTCAGTTCTATAAAAAGTCCTTAATTTGTCAGGAGAAGTAATCTTTGAATATAATCTTCCTTTTGCTAACACGAGCCTCGGCTCTGCTTGCTGAGATTCTAGCAGGCTGCTCTCTCCAGCAGAAGTTTCTACAGAAACTACTTTTGTGAATGTGTTTACAGGTTGCCTAATGAGATTTAGGAGTCTCCGTCTTTGGAGATATCTAAAATCTGAACGCAGTCTTGGGCAACCTACTCTAGATGACCCTGCTTGAGCAGGAGATTGGGCTAGATGATCTCCAAAGGTCCTTTCCAACCTCAGCCATACAGTCCTGTGGTACGAAGGCCTGTACATCACAGCTGGGAGCACAGTGGGGTACAGCCATATGTTCATCCTCAAATCGACCCCCAAATATAAGGTTATTCCAACCAAATCATTCATGATTTTCACTATCTCTTATCTATTGATCCTTCGTCAGTAGAGATCAGAGCACTCCGCAAAGTAAGAGTAGATTGTGGTAGCATTTATTTTGTCCAGGTTTAAATCCAAATAAAGATGTCTGCATCTAAGAGAGTCAGCTTAGGCTCTCCTAACAGCTAAGGGAGAAACAGGTGCTCCCAAGGCAGAAGTCTCCAAGCATGTTGAAGACATAGTTCTTAGGATAAGATGAACCACCTTGTACAAGTGCCTGTTTTCCTCACTGCTAATGTGGTCTAACGAGCTCAAATGTAGGCGCTATACTGGCCCAAGGGGAGACCTAAGGGTCTCACCTTCACAAGTTGGGCACAGGATGGTGAAATAATGTGTGCAGAGTCTCCAAATAAACTACTGTCAGGCCAGGAACAGGAACCCAGGTTGGTCCCAACCCAAGCTAATGCACCCCGTGATGCCCCATCCCTGTCCCTGTGCAAGGATGCAGCGTTGCAGGATGCCTGGCAGGTTTACCTCCAGCCTTTAGCCGTCTTCTCTGCATTCCCACTTAGGGAATAGCCGTAGGGACTGTCTTCTGGGAAGAAGCACCAGGGGGCATTCGGCACCTCGGTGGAGCACCAGACGCAGCCGCGGGCTTCGCACCTCTCCTGGGAGGCGCCGGGCTGCGGGTGGCAGTCGACGCGGCTCTTCACCGAGATACCCCGCGAACACTGCAGGTCTTCGCCCCAGCAGGGGCTCGGCCCTAGGACTGAACCAGAATATGGAAAAAAGCAGTCAAAGCACAGTGCAAACTTCTCAGGGGTGACTAAAAAACAATGCAAATGTCTTCGTCAGGTCTTTTGGGGTTTTCTTTCCTGTCCAGGAGCTGAAATATGTGACTCTTTCGATGGAGGTGACCCCAGAGTGACTGAAACAAGAGCATCTAGTTCCTTCTGTGCACRCCGAGAGGTCCTCCTAGCCCTGCACCTCGGCTCCGGGGTCCTGCTGGAGCAGGACTGACTCGAAATGCTCAGGGAAGGTTAAATAAGGAAATAATGAACCTGCTCCCGAGGCGTGAAAACCGCTCTCCAGCCTAGTGGAAAGCCAGGTCTGCTTCCGTAAGGACTAAATGGACACGTACACACATGAATATGTGAAATCAGCACATGGTGTACCTATATGCATAAATATATAACGGTGATTGCGTATATGCTTGTATTATTGCTTCATTTATATATTACATGCAACGTATATTTGTTATGAGTTTGTTCCTAGAGCTGGGGTTGTGATTAAAAGGAAAATACTGATGGTAAAAGAAAGGCACAAATTAGTCATTCTCAGAATTGTCCTGACGAAAAGCTCTTACATAAGGCACTAAATCTTTCCTTTTTCCTAGCTGCTGGCCTAGCCCTATTCCCCTGGGAGGAACAAGCCCATTGAAGTCAGGGGGATTGAACCTCTAGCTCCCTGCTGTGATAACAAAATACTGTGTTATCAAATGCTGAAAAGAGAGCGGGCGTATGGCAGACAGCACACTTATTTTAAAGGTAACTTGTGTCATTCTAGTCATTATGACAATATTCAGGGATTAAAGCTACTTGAAAAACAATTTCTTTTCTCTATAAATGACTAATACCTCTGCTTTAAAATCTTCAGCAGGGACTATTGTGCATCTGAAAACTTGCAACAGGATTGCTCATGCAGTGAGTCCTTCTGCACACAGGGAAGTTTACACACAGAGGTACACAAGCAATAATTCATATACTGAAAAGATGCAGAACTGCAGATTCACTAGAAATGTACATCCTTCCCCTAGGTCAGCATTTATTTCCAAACAGAGGATGGGAATGGAGAGAAGGGAGAGCTTATTAGTGTCTAGCTTTAATATTTTTAGAAAAATGTAACATATGTCTCTGGCCTTGGACACTCCTGGTGGCTGAGAGCCAGTGCTTTTCCCAGGAGGGAAAAGCTCATGTCCAACACGACCAGTGGTCCTGGGATTTGCAGTACAACTGACTTGGCAACAGCACAGAGAGGGCCCTTGTGAAACTTTCTAGAGGTAGGAATTACAGAATCACAGAATGCTTAAGGTTAGAAGGGACTCAGAGGTCACCTCGTCCAACCCTCTGCTCACGCAGGGTCACCTAGAGCACGTGGCACAGGGCTGCGTCCAAGCGGGTTTTAAAGATCTCCACAGAAGGAGACTCCACAACCTCTCTGGGCAGCCTGTTCCAGGGCTCTGTCACCCTCACTGTCAAGAAATTTTTCCTTAAGTTCCTGCGGAACTTTTGGTGCTTCAGTTTGTGACCGTTTCCTCTAGTTCCATCAGTGGTCACCACTGAAAAGAGGCCGCGCCCTCCTCCTCCCTCCCTCCCTTGAGGTATTTATCGACACTGATCAGGTCTCCCCTCAGCCTCCTCTTCTCCAGGCTGAACAGACCCAGCTCTCTCAGCCTTTGCTCATAGGGCAGATGTTCCAGGTCCCTGATCATCCTCGTAGCCCTGCGCTGGACTCTCTCCAGCAGCTCCACATCCCTCTTGTACTGGGGAGCCCAGAACTGGACATAGTCTGCAGATGTGGCCTCACCAGGGCTGTGTATAGGGGAACGATCACCTCTCTCGACCTGCTGGAGACACTCTTCTTAATGTACCCTGAGTCCTGAGACCTGCTTGGCTCCCACTTCTGCACTTTGGGTGGGGAGGCCTCCCTGGCAGCCTGGCCACGTTCTGCCCAGCCTTCGTTAACGCTGTGTTTGGACACATAAAAGGGCCCTGAATTCCGATCCTGTTTTTCATCCGAAGCACAAAGATGAGTAAGGAATGCAGCCGTCCCACAGGGATCCCTACATGGCTACTTTGTGGAGCAGAAATTAGGAAGGATTCAACAGCCTGATTAAAACACTCTAGATTTGGGGACAGAAGTGCCCAGACTTTATGCCCTGTCCCTGAAGAGGCAAGAGAGAGAAAAACAGACTGCAAGTCCCATTGGAATTGCTGTCAAGCCTTTGAACTTCTGTGCACCAAATATTACACTATATTACATTACATTATACAAATACTGTACCAAATACTGCACTTACGGCCCATTTCTTTGTTAACATACATGGAAAAGGAAATGCAAATGAGCAGCTGAATTTAGCAATAGCAGTGGCTACTTGCTGCTTTTTCATGATAATTTCCATGGGAACAGAAGCTAAAGAAAGGTATTTTRAAAGATTTCTGTGAAAAAATGTCCCTAGTTTTTTTTTTAAGGTCTCTTACTATAATTTTGTGAAATTAGGTTAGAAAATGCTGCAATAAGCCAAAAACAAGGAATTAAAATATTACCATGCCCCTTCCAGTTAAATAGTATTTGCCTTCACATTTTGGGTTCATCTACACATTTCAAAGGCAGAGTCGCTGCAGAGATTCCCCTTCTCTTTGCTTAGACCCATTCTCCCTTCATTACACTCCAGACTGAATTAACCCCTTAAAAATATTGCAGTAAATAAAACTAGCAAAGGGCTTTCAGCAGTGAATACTGCCATCAACTTCAGCCCATCTATTCCTGTGCTGAAGAGCTAAATATTGGGATACACTTCTAAACCAGCTGGCCCTGCTGCATTCCCATAGAGCCACSTGTCACCTCCAATGACTTAATAACTCCTTTTTTCCCCCCTTTTCCATGTACAGTGTGGCAGATCTCACCCCCAAGCATTTCTACTGCTGTTATAAAGTTTCTATCCTGTCTCCGAGGCCTACAACAAAGTAGAAATAAGGTGTATTTACCTGCTAGCACAACAGCCAAGCAGCAGAGACTCTTGATTCTCCCCATGGTCAACTGCTGGCTTCTGCACACCACGTGCTCTCTTTTATATGCCCAGAGGCACGATAAGCACGTGTTCAGGAGAGTAACAAGAGACAATGCATTTTTTTTCCTTGAAATTTCATATCTTTCATGAGATTGATTGTAGCACATGCATGTACGAATGTATCTAAGCAGGTAATGTAGTTTATTTACATAACGTAGTTTATTTACCACAAATTTTGATAAGTTGAAAGCCATTTTGAGAAAATCTTTTTTCCCAAGACTGYTCCCAGTCCCTTTAGAATTAAACCTTCAATGACCTCTTCATTTTTTAAACAAACATCTGAAGTGAATGAAAAAGTTTTTATGGGTGTTTACTTTTTTCTGCTTTTGATATTTTGTCACAMTATAATAATAAATTACAAATTAAGAGTTTGGAGAAAAATAGTAGAAGACTCTTCAATAAAACACAAAACTGATACTGTGACCTTTACAAAATGTCATTTTGCTTCCAATTATTTAATGACAAGAACCAGGAGGGCAAATCTGTGTGTTCTATGGCAAGATTTGATTTAGATGGAGGAAAAAAAGCTTTCTAGACGGACACTAACAGTTACATAGGGTGTTGAGCATGAAGTATATTTTTAACATGAAATGTCTGCG